GCACAGCAAACACTTGCCTCAGCAGCAAACACTTAGAGAAAATTCTCAGAGTAGAACCAGATTTTCTTTATAGATTCTTGATACCAAAAATATTATTAATCATAACAAATATGATCTATCTTTCAAAAGTATCTGCAATAAATACAAATTTAGAACTGTTGCCTTAATTTAGGATAGCTTTGAAAATGCTGGGGTTTGCACTGTAAGAAATAGTTGAGAAAGAGTAGAAGAAACACTTTTGCATATTTTTAACTAAATGCAGAACTGTGTTTTTATTAAGTGTTCCTTTAGGAGGTCAGAAATCACAACGCGTGGAGGAAGACAACTGCAAGGACTATTAAACTGTAGCTCTTCGCACCACTTCCTCAGTCAGGCAGGCTGGGATGACCAGGTACTACCTGAGCAGCAAGTGCAGCCTTCCACATCAGCTTTCATGCTGGAACTAGTTAAAAAAAGAGGAAAACAATCCAAAATTCATTTTATGATCATTACACCTTACCAGGTGCCTTCACCATCTTCCTTTCACACATCCTTGAATTCTTTAATAACCGCAACAAAGATCTATTATGTTCCCAGGAGGTGATTTGCACAATGCTTACTGACAAATGAGCAACTCGCTAGAAATCAGGAAAAGATGAGTCAAGTAGCACCTGCTCACAAATTAGATGTGAGAACAGAAAGACCTTGAGCACACAGCTCATATGGGACTACCCCAAAGGCTACCATGCTGCTGCGTTATATAATTGTCTGCTTTTTTTTCCCCTGCATTTCATTGTGGCTTTCCACTTACAGCCCTCAGCTGAGATTCAGAGGCGTTCAGTTTATCTGTTGAGCACCCACATCATCTCACCGCCTGGCACAGAGGGGATCACGTCTTACTCTCCTGCAAAGCATTTGAGACCTTGTGAGGAGTAGCTAGTCTGAAGTTACTCCTGAAATAATCACTAAGACTGCAGAACAGGTAATTCAAGAAATCAAGCTACCTCTTCGCATGCCATAGATACCATTTTTAAAGCTCTGAGTTTTGATTTGTTTATCAAGATAAATGCTAGTTGTACAGGATAGCACTATGAGTGGTCTTTGCAGGATAACACAAAAAAATCACATATAACCAGAAAAATAACCTTCTTGTCCTCTTCCTTACAAGGAAGTAACTTAAAAATTACAACTTTCATCACTTGAAATTCGCATTACGGTGTGATGCAAAATGAGGTGGTGCACAGTTTTGTGTTTCTCTTACTCAAAAGTTCATATCACAAGTTTCACCTATGCTACAATTTCTGCAAAACATTAGCAACTTCTGCAAGACCCCTGCTCCCTTTCCACAAGCACCGTCTCACTCCACCTGCTGTGGAATTGTCACGGTCACCATAAGTCAAAACCCCCCACTGGAATGAAAGTGTTTTAACAAGTCCAGAGCAGGACATTCTCCCTTAGATTACAGGCAGGTAACACTCAGACTACAGCTAAATACTAGCCCTTGAATGCCAGTGTGAGGACCCAAGAACCATTTGATATTGAAAAGATTCCCTGTTTTAAGAAGCCTTTAGATTAATCTTACATCCTCTGATAGGAATTGAAATGCCAACTACTACTGCAGTAATCAACCTGCCCATAAAGGTCAACAGAGAACTGATTAAAGGGAATGCCAGACTATCCGCTCAAGCGCAAATTGCTCAAATATGGCTGTTTATAATAATTCATACTTAGGACCACTTAAGGAACAATTCTCTGTTAAAGCTTTGGAGGTTTTCTATAAAGAAACAAAGCTAGCTACTGAGTGCACACTAATTGTTCCAATAGTCCTGCCTTTTTTTTTTTAATTATTCTGATGACTAAGAATCACAACAGACACTGGTATGAAGCCCACTCAGAACTAAAGAATTCAAGGACCAGATGACTTTTTTTTACAATTAATGTGTAACATGCAGTGACTGCTGAGGGTCCACATGAAATGGCCAGTTTATTAAGTAGTTGTAAGACATGGCCATGAAAAAATACTAACACTATGATATCCTCACTGAATCACTACATGAACCTACACACAACAGGGCACGAAGTGTAGGGATTGGGAAATGAGTAGAAAATTTCACATTGCATCCATCCACCTACCCAGGCAGGTACTCACATCAACAAAAAAATCAGCCACACTAATCCAGCCCATGTCAATACCACTAAATTCTAATATTAAAGTAATGAAAAGTGCAACTTCACCATTTCTCTTTTTCCCACTAGAGACATCCTTGGGGAAATATCCTTGCATGCACCGAAACTGGTATGATTTCAATTCCACCCACATCTGGGCTCACTTGGGAACTAAATCCAGCACAACCCGTCTTGGGTCAGCCAGTGACCCTGAACAAAAATAGCTCTGGCAGAAAGCTGGATTTATGGAATAGGGTGGAGCCCATCCAAGTGTAAACTGAACAAACTTGAAGTTAACGATGGAGAAGCAACAATTTCTCCATTCTGTTCTGTGTATGACAAGCACAAAGGTGACTCGTGCCATCTACGCAAGGTGACAAAACACAAAGTGACACAATCAACCCTAGAACAGGTCAGAATCCTGGGTGTAATTTGGCTCTGACACAATTTAAAATGTGTCGTCAGCAGTAAGAGTTAATTACCATCTCCAAAGCAGTAAAAATAAGAGAAGCAAATGTTGCTTGAGAACTGTAATAATACCAGCAGCGCAGCTGGGTCAGCATGCCAGGGCCACAGCTTTACCAGCAGCATCAAACAGGGCTTAGCAGAGTTTAGCAATTTTACTGAAAACCCACACTTTTGGTAAATTCAGATTAGCTTTCCCTAATGTCCCAGTGCAAACAAGCCTGAAGTCAGGAGATGATAGCACGGAAGGTAGAAAAATTAACAGTATTGAATTGTTTTAACACAAGATTATTTTGCCCACAGCAGACACAAGACAACCTTGAAGTGCAAGCAGAACTCTGCCTGCAAACTCCAGATTACGGCCAAAGTAATGCACGCATTCTCATGCAAAAGAAACCAGAATTTGAACTGGTGTCACAAGGAAAAGCCTGATTTTGAGTACCAATGACCAAGGTATTGGAGTTAAAGGGACACTTGATGCTGTGTTAGACACAGCAGGGATGTCCAGACAACATCCTTAGGCACAATCGGCATGCAACAGGACAGAAGAAAAAATATAAAAATAATCAAACTACATATCAATTGTAAGGATCCAGAATTGCTAGCTTGTTCTACTCATCCTCTTTCATACAAAATTAGCAAAGTCTACCAGTGCAAGGCACCTCTCAATTAATTAATTTGATTCCTAAATGCAACCAACATGCTATGTTGATTTTTAAGTTATCTAACAATCCATTTCCAATTCTAGCACACGTTAACCAAAGAATAAAACCCCCAAGAACAAACTATTACATGCAAGCTTCCTGCTAATTACAATTACTTTGTTTGTAAGCCCTTTGTAATACAATTAGGGTGTCGTGGCATGCACAAATGAGAAACAAATTTAAGCTTTTAGAGGCACTGCAAAATTTATTTAAATCTGACATTTCCTCAGGTTCAAAGCTCCACTGTTCACATTATGTCTTTCTTAGTATTTAAACACAAATGCCCTCTCTGCCCAAATAGAAATCCAAAATATAAATGAAAAAATGGTATCAAATACACTGGTTGTTATTATATCTCACACTCCCAGGATCTGAGCCCTGACCTTGCAGCACCACAGAAAACAGGTACACCCGGGTAGCCAGTTGTGTAGCACAAAGGTTCCCAGGCGCTCAGCAGCTGATGCAGCCAGACCTCAAAATCTACAGATTTCATCCATAGGAGACATCACAATTGCCTGAAAGAGCTCAGTTTTCTCCTTCCTCAGTAGTTTTATGCCAGCTGAGGAAGCTTAGCCCACCTCTTTTCCCTCGATTATTGCCAGAGCCTCTCTCAGGTGCGTCTAACAACTACACGGGCCTGCCAAGTTATTGATTTCAACCATCTCCAGAATGCAAGTGGCAGGAGAGGAACAGTCAGTAAAGCCCAAGCAAAACTGGGGGGCAGGGGGGAGTGGCAGCCAATAAGTCACATTTTTATCCTAAAGACCTCCCTTTGGTAATTATCAAATCCTTGCACAAGCAGGGGCATAAGAGTTTATCAGGAAGAGCTCACATGAATCTTTTATAATGGAAAGTGAAAGACAGCCGCAGACTTAGGGTCCCCACCGGCTGTTCTCTCTATCAGTGCTGCTCAGGATTTAGCTGTACTTCAGAGGAGATGGGAGTGAAAATGCAGATCTTCCCGAAGCCCACTGCGTCTAGAAGGGAAATAAAACCATAAAGATCATGAAACGTTAATGCAGCGAGTCTGCACCGGTGAACGGCTGTAATGCTCCTATGGGGCTGGAGCAACCTTGGACTTGGTGACTTTTATTGCTGGGGTTTTTTTCCGTCTCAACTTTGCACGCATGTCAGCATAAGCGAGATACCTGTTAGAGGGGAGGCGTACAAGGTGGAGACTGAAGCAGATGAGGTCTGATGAGCCAGAGGAGAAAGAGGTTTTCCAAAGGGCGGCAGAAAGCCCCCACGGACCCAAAGGCAGGGCTTTGGTGCTCCCTGCCTGCACCCTGGGCACCCTCATACTCACTTGGCTCTCCCAAGTATCCCCATCTCATAGAAAATTCCCCAATTCTGTGCTGGGTTTGCTCCTCTGTGGAGCTCTGTCACCTCACAGGGGCAGGGGCCAAGGCAAGGCAGGCGGAGGGGCCGCTGCCCGCGACACCTCCCTCAGCGCCGGGCCGGTTCAGCTCACTAAACCGGCACAGCACAGCCCCCTCCCCACTCCCGGTAGCCAAACTGAGGCGGGGGGGGGGTGGTGGAGAAGCGGGAGGACGAGGCCTCACAACCCCTCACACACCCTAAAGCGGCGGGGGGGGGGAGACGGGATGGCGGAGGTGTTGGTTCTACCGCCTTTCCCGCTCCCTCACACCGGCCCGTTCCCCGCCGCCCTCCCCACCCAGCGCTCACCGCAGACGGAGGTTAGCCATGAACTCGGGCATGGTGACGGCGTCCATCAGCACGAAGTCCGCTTTGCCGAACTCTAAGCTCTCCTGCTCC